CACACACACACAAAATGATTCTATTCCTGGTGTAGTTAAATTGATCCTTTATGGCAGTGTCTATCATGATGAAGCTTCATAATATTATTTACACTGAAAAGAAAACAAAAAAACAAAAAAAACTAAGTATCCTCCCAAGAGTACCAGGGAAAGGGTGAGTGTTCAAAATGCACTCACCTGTTTGTATCCCTAGCTACATCTTCATAGACACTCTGGACACCAATCTCCAGGCGAGTACAGCCATACATCAGCATGGAGCTAAAAATATTGGAATAGTATTGTAAGTCTTGATAACAGTTTAAGACTGTCATTTCCTGCAGAAGCTAATTTGCAGTTACTATTGGTAAAGGGTGCTGTATATGATAGCTGTAGGTTCTATGAATAACATGCAATACTTTTTAACACATCATCTTTTGGGGTTCTGGTTACATAAAATAAAATCTCTTGATATGTACAATGAATTTTGAAATTTAAGAATGATTCCAGGTTGTCAACTCTGTAAGGTTTTCCCTTTACAGAACAGGATAATTGACCCATCAAACATGCAATTCAGAAAAACAATTTGAAGATAAAACAAGAGAAGGGGATTTAGCCTTTTGTCTTATTGTGTTCTTGAACAAGTAGAACATTTACCTAAGATGTTTTTTCAGACAGTAATCTGGTCTAGTTTCAATGGTTATACCTATACACTTTGTCTTGCTTCTTTCTGAGTACCTGAGTGACATAAAGTACAGATCAGTAAGTCAGAATAATTTCAATTGTAATGAAATAGACTGCAAACTACTATCCAAGGTCAAAGCCTTCACCAAGTTTCAAAGAGCTTCAGCTACATGCTCTTCATCCTCTCACTTCCAAGAACTGATAATAAATTCACCCCTCTAGCTGCTACACATTTCCTTGTAAATTGGTAGCCAGAGTTTGGTGTTTGATCAAGATAACAACTCCTAACAAACCCCAAGCTATAATAGCTCACAAAGATTGAATTTCAACAATAGCAAATCTAGACAGTTAGATAATGGACTTACTTGACCGCCTCATCCACATTATTACTTGTGTGACCTGACAGGGCATCATGGAGATTCCTTATAAAAAAATCTCTGTAGCTTTCATCCAGACACATGAATGTACCTCCCATTACAATGAACTCAACCTTGAAAATACAACAAAGGACAATATTAACAAATATATACAAACTGATTTAAGAGTTTTGGGTCTAAGCTTATACCCTGAGTAGGAAACTAAGGAACTCTTTGGAAAGATGTGTGAAACTTGGTCTGCCTTTCTTGACCCAGGAGTTCACATGGATACCAACAAATTTTAAATAAACTATAGAGTAAATGCTACAAGCATCCCATCTCTAATATGAAGTAATGCTCTTAGTTCCTCCTTGCTTAGAGACTGAGTTATGCTATAGCAATGCAGGTCACTAGTAGTAGACTTACACCACATGTACCCAAATATGATAAATCAAACTGTACCAGATATCACTTAACAGTGACCAGAGTCAGAATGTAAAACAGAACTTTACTATTAATTCTCACCTTATCCACACTGTGGCCCAACTGTTTGAGCTGAAGAAAATATCATATATTCTCATGAGTTCATCAGATACCATTGAACACTATTCCACTTGCCAGCAGTATCTTTTAGATATTACAATAACATGTTTCTGTTAACCTGGCTCACCAGTGGTACTCAGCCACCCAGATCCCAATACATCATGCTTCTTACACCACAACCACCTGTTTCTCATGGGACGCATCCTCCCCCTGCAATTTGTTCTTTTCAACAATCACTGCAGACAAGCCTCAGCATCCATGTCTATTTACACCTCCCTACTATGCTCTATACACAAAGATTGCTTGTAACCACTTAAAACTCAGAACTGTTGGCAATTTTTTGTATAGAATCATTTTGAAATCACCTAATACCCTCTAAATGTGACAGATCAGGTAGTGAATAATATTTACTGGTATTTCAACACTGCTAATTCAAGACAAGTTGCCATCTACAGGTAAATAAAACTGAAGACAGACTATTATGTATGAGACACAATGTTCACCTGATCAATTCTGTGTCTTGTTTGTAGATAGGGGTTATATCGTGCTCGTATTGCTCTCATTGATGTGGGCTGAAAGAAAAAATTGAACCATGTGGTTTAGATAGATGTTAGGAAAATTTATATTTTTAAAAAGCTTATTATAAACTAAAGGTATTTAAAGACCTTACTTCATATCCAGTGTAAGACTGCGTGGAGTATTCAAAATCAGAGTCTGGTCCTCCTGGACAATATCTGCAAAAAATGGAAAACACATTTTATAGTACTGACTACCTTGCAGGACCACATATTCACTAAAAAAAATCATGGATTTATAATTTATTAGGTTGGTGGATAAATTATGTAAAGTGCAAACCACTTGTCACAAGAAGTTTCCCATACATCTTCCGAAAAAATAAAAAACAGTAATTGTATTAGGCTACTTTTTAACCAAAAGGGTAAATATATCTGATCAAAGACCTTTGCTGTTGTAATACTGAATCGAGTTCAGCATAATGTTAAATATCACAGATGTTCTCAGTCACTAAACTTGTTATTTTTACCAACATTGACTATAACTGTACTGAAAGTGTAGAGTTATGCTAACTTACACACAGATATTTCCAGTCATGTTTATATGAGGACATCTATGAGGTTTGCACATAACGGCCACAACTGCAATCTGGGATTATCATAATAAAAAAATTAGAGTATTTGGGTGAAAGTACATTTTTCATTGCAGAAATTCCCCATCCCCCAGCTGAAGAGTAAAAAGAGTCCTACTACAGTAATGGTTCAAATCCTTGGACTTGTTAATAAGAGATTTATTATACGAGTGAAGTTCAAAGGGACACAAGTGCGGTATCATTCAGGACCATTCGGGACAGTGCCTGGTCCAGTACTGAGAGAATATTGACTGGCAATAGAGCATTTTGATTGATTGATTTTAGTTATTGGCCCTCTGACTACCCAAGTTGTGTAATAAATGGCAATATTGAGTCTCCTTACTGTCCAACTTACTTTACACCCTAAGCATATAAATCAGTTGTTAAATAATAGATTCCCCTTGCTTATAAATCAGTTGTTAAATAATAGATTCCCCTTGCTTATGGTAGTGGTCATTACATATAGTTTCTTAACCCATTAATGGCTGCAGCTTTTGTGAAAAACTGTGTTTTGAAGCTAGTCGAGCAGATTTCGGGTCACTGTTGTGGTTTTAAAAGCTCAAACTTACCACAAACCCATTGACGGCTTGTACACTTGATGGCCTTTTGATCCATATGCAAAATGGCAGCCTGAAAATCTCGGGCATGCGCAGAAAGCAACATTTGGAGATAGTTTTTGGGTTGAAAAGTAATGCCCCACTTACGACTTTTACTTTTCTCTCTTTCTCCTGCCCTTTTTTTCCCCTCTCCTTGCCTGAAGTTTCTCCTCACTTGCCGGAAATTTAGTAGGCTTCATTTTGGTGTAGAGATTTTTTAGGAAACTACTCATTATTTTCAAACCACATGCTCAGAAAGGTAGGTGGGTAATGGAACAAGATTTTCGTGCAGATTTTCAGGTCAAAGTTACATGGTTTTTTGGCTATTTCTCCAATCTCCTTCACTCAATTGCGCTCATTCTGGTATCATTTCTAGGATATTTTCAACCTGTTCAAGTACGTGCTCAAAGTCGTGCTCCAGGGTTAAAAGTGATGACGTCACAAGG